AAGAGGGACCATGAGGTGTGAACTTGAGGAGGGACCATGAGGCGTGATCTTGAGGTGGGACCATGAGGTGTGATCTTGAGGTGGGACCATGAGGTGTGATCTTGAGAGTGGGACCATGAGGTGTGATCTTGAGGTGGGACCATGAGGTGTGATCTTGAAGAGGGACAATGAGGTGTGAACTTGAGGAGGGACCATGAGGCGTGATCTTGAGGTGGGACCATGAGGTGTGATCTTGAGGTTTGGCCCATGATGTGTGATTCTTGAGGAGGGACCATGAGGTGTGATCTTGAGGATGGGACCATGAGGTGTGATCTTGAAGAGGGACCATGAGGTGTGAAATTGAGGAGGGACCATGAGGCGTGATCTTGAGGTGGGACCATGAGGTGTGATCTTGAGGTGGGACCATGAGGTGTAATCTTGAGGTGGGACCATGAGGTGTGATCTTGAGGTGGGAACCATGAGGTGTGGATCTTGAAGAGGGACCATAGGTGGGGATCTTGAGGTGGGACATGAGTGTGTGAACTTGAGGTGGGACTATGGGGTTTGTGAACTTGAGGAGGGACTATGAGGTGTGAACTTGAGGAGGGACCATGAGGTGTGACCTTGAGGTGGGACCATGAGGTGTGATCTTGAGGAGGGACCATGAGGTGTGATCTTGAGGAGGGACCATGAGGTGTGATCTTGAGGAGGGACCATGAGGTGTGATCTTGAGGAGGGACCATGAGGTGTGATCTTGAGGAGGGACCATGAGGTGTGAACTTGAGGAGGGACCATGAGGCGTGATCTTGATGTGGGACCATGAGGTGTGATCTTGAGGTGGGACTATGAGGTGTGAACTTGAGGAGGGACTATGAGAGGTGTGACCTTGAGGAGGGACCATGAGGTGTGAACTTGAGGAGGGACCATGAGGTGTGATCTTGAGGTGGGACCATGAGGTGTGATCTTGTGGTGGGACCATGAGGTGTGAACTTGAGGAGGGACCATGAGATGTGATGTTGAGGAGGGACCATGAGGTGTGATCTTGAGGAGGGACCATGAGGTGTGATCTTGAGGAGGGACCATGAGGTGTGATCTTGAGGTGTGACCATGAGGTGTGATCTTGAGGTGGGACCATGAGGTGTGAACTTGAGGAGGGACCATAAGGTGTGATCTTGAGGTGGGACCATGAGGTGTGATCTTGAGGAGGGACCATGAGGTGTGATCTTGAGGAGGGACCATGAGGTGTGATCTTGAGGAGGGACCATGAGGTGTGATCTTGAGGAGGGACCATGAGGTGTGATCTTGAGGTGGGACCATGAGGTGTGATCTTGAGGTGGGACCATGAGGTGTGATCTTGAGGTGGGACCATGTGGTGTGATCTTGAGGTGGGACCATGAGGTGTGATCTTGAGGTGGGACCATGAGGTGTGATCTTGAGGAGGGACCATGAGGTGTGATCTTGAGGAGGGACCATGAGGTGTGATCTTGAGGAGGGACCATGAGGTGTGATCTTGAGGTGGGACCATGAGGTGTGATCTTGAGGTGGGTCCATGAGGTGTGATCTTGAGGTGGGACCATGAGGTGTGATCTTGAGGTGGGACCATGAGGTGTGATCTTGAGGTGGGACCATGAGGTGTGATCTTTAGGTGGGACCATGAGGTGTGATCTTGAGGTGGGACCATGAGGTGTGATCTTGAGGTGGGACCATGAGGTGTGATCTTGAGGTGGGACCATGAGGTGTGATCTTGAGGTGGGACCATGAGGTGTGATCTTGAGGTGGGACCATGAGGTGTGATCTTGAGGTGGGACCATGAGGTGTGATCTTGAGGTGGGTCCATGAGGTGTGATCATGAGTGTCAGAATTTGACATGTAAGAAATATGTCCGACTGACTACCCAAAATCTTGAAGGTTGAAGCTGAAGATTCACCACCCAACCCTTCACATGATGTTTACAACACACACACACACACACACACACACACACACACACACACACACACACACACACACACACACACACACACACACACACACACCCCTGTTTGCGGCTTACAGTAATCTGCAGGATACAAAGAAGTGAAACCAGAAAAGACTACAGACATAGCAGGACAATTGGTTTGATAACTGGTTACTAGAATTTAACCCAGGCAAATGCAAAGTTGTAAATATCGGGGAAAGGCAACGACCACCGTAAACACAGCATCGGGTCGGAGAACAAAGACTGTAAACCTTCCTGAAAAAGAAGGACTTCGAGGTGAACGATGTTCTGAACATAACGCCTGAGGAGTATATCAACTGAATAGCTGCAGCAACAAACGCGAGACTGTCAAATTTAAGGATAGCTTTCAGGAATCTCAACAAGGAGTCATTTACGACACTGTGCGGCATTTGTTAGGTCCATCTTGGTGTATGAAGCGCCAGTCTGGAACCAGATGACATTAGAGAAGAGGAGGACCAGTGGTGACATGATTATAGCGTTCAAAATACTGAGAGGGACTGAAAGAGTAGACAGGGCAAGTCTGTTCGAGAGGTTGTATCTCTGGAACATGAGGGCAAAGCAGGAAATTAAAATCACCAATGAGTCAAAGAGATGCGAGGAAATATTTCTTTAGACTTAGAGTGGAACGACCTAGACAGGAACCAAACACATTTAAGAATTAATATGACGAGACTCAAGCAGTCAGGAAATTCTCCAGAGAACATCAGTGGAGGTTCAAAGGGACAAGAAGAGTTCCCGAGTGCCTAGACTGAATTTTGATCGGAATTAACAGCAGAATCAAGTCATACAGACGCCGGGATATACACTCATATACTATTGAGTTGAACATAAGAACATAAGATTTTAAGAAAAAAGGAGCACTACAGCAGTCCTACTGGCCCATGCCAGGCAAGTCCAAGTCACATACTGGCCTAAGCTACTGGCTTAGGCTACTTTCCCCTTTCTCTAAGAATTTGCTCAGACTACGAACTTGATGATAAACATATGTACGTTATTATTTTATTTATTAACATATCGGCCGATTCCCACCAAGGCAGGGTGGCCCGGAAAAGAAAAACTTTCATCATCATTCACTCCATCACTGTCTTGCCAGAGGGGTGCTTTACACTACAGTTATAAAACTGCAACATTAACACCCCTCCTTCAGAGTGCAGACACTGTACTTCCCATCTCCAGGACTCAAGTCCGGCCTGCCGTACTTGATAAATGTTACTTTGCTCACACTCCAACAGCAAGTCAAGTATTAAAAACCATTTGTCTCCATTCACTCTTATCAAATAAGTTCACGCATGCATGCTGGAAATCCAAACCTCTTGCACACAAAACCTCCTTTACCCCCTCCCTTCAACCTTTCCTAGGCTGACCTTTACCCCGCCTTCCCTCCACTACAGATTTATATACTATTTTGTTCCATTCTCTCTAAAAAAATTAAATACCGATATTCATGCTTTTTTGTGTGTTTGGTTCGGAACTTTTCGAGCTCGCCTTGAACGTGGTTTAGAACCTTCCAATCTCCCATAGGGTTCTGCCCTTACCGACTATTTCCAGTACTGTCTCGGTGTATCAGTGATCGCTGATAGAGTCGTGGGGGCCAAAAGGCTATTTTTATTCAAACTTCAATCAAGTTGGTGATCGATCTCTTCCCGTCGCTCTGGCTTGTGGGAAACTGTCTAGGGTGTGGGAAAAGTGCACTAGTATTGGAGGAGCTTTACGGAAGCCATGATTTGGTAAAATTTCAGCCAGAGCAAAACACTCAAAATAATGCGTCTCTTTACCTATTAGAGTAAGCTTAAATTACCCGGAATAATAGCGGTGGTGTTAAAGGTAATGTTGAGTAAAATAAATTCCCACATCAGGGGTCAAAATGTCGCGAAAGGAGGCATATTAGTCAAACTGAAAGTTCAATTGTCACAGAAAGGGGCACATTAAGCAACATGAAAGTTCCACTGACACAGTAAAAAGGCACAATAACCAACCTGAAAGTTCCACTGTCACAGTAAAAGGCATATTAACCAACCTGAAAGTTCCAATGTCACAATAAAAGGTACATTAACCAACCTGAAAGTTCCAGTGTCACAGTGAAAGGCTTATTAACCAACCTGAAAATTCCAATGTCACGGCAAAAGGCACATTAACCAACCTGAAAGTTCCACTGTCACTGAAATTAGCATAGTAACAAGCTTGAATGTTTAAATACCAGAGGAGGAGAGTACATGTTACCACACCTGCAGATTCATATATTACATTAGGGAATGTTTTAAAACACTTAGACGTTCAGATATGAAAGTGGAGATTTAATGGGTTCCGACTTATAATTGGAAATGAACTGTCACATATGAAGGTTCAGATATCAAGGAGTCATATTATACCTGGAGGGTCATATAACACAGGAGGAAATATTACTACACCTACAGGTTCAAATATCACATAATGAGCATAATGGAGGTTCGTCTATTACAGGAGGGATCATATAACAACACCTGGAGCTTCAAATGACCACCTCCACTGTTAAATTACCAAAGGGCAAATATTAATAAGAAATTTTTTACAAATCTAAGATGCTAAAGGAAAGACAGGTTGCAGTACAAGGCTTTTATCATGACGTGATGAAGCTGTACACCACATCCTTGAGAAGTATCAAAGGTGAGCTGATGGACAGTCTCCTTCAGCACCTCATACATAAAGGAGGAGGAGGAGTCAGAAACATTGAATACCGTCGTATAGACCGAAATATTGTATAAATAAGAGCTTATTCTGCAACCTGTATCCTTACTATTACTCTAATTGATTTCTATAGAATTTGTTGGCCCAGTCAGCTGGGTCGCTGGCTGGGATAACACATGAGGAATTAAAGCAGGAAAAGCAGAGGAAACAAATCTTCATTTCTAAACGACGTTTCTGTATCAAGACTTAATGAGGATGAATCTTGAGAGAAACGTGGTCTTCTATCAAGTTATGCTCTATGCTAGGCGCGTTTACACGTGCAGGAGGGGCTAGGACTACCGAGGGTGTGATACAGTACCTTGTCGCTAAGATCGGGTGGCCCACGCGAGTTCTGTAAAAGAGGATTTTCTAAACTGTATCGAGAGATACAAGCGATCCCAAAGAACTGCATTCACTATTTCTTTCTTTTCCCTCCCTCCTTCCTTCCTTTCCCTCCCTCCTTCCTTCCTTTCCCTCCCTCCTTCCTTCCTTTCCCTCCCTCCTTCCTTCAGTTTCCTCTTACATTTGTTCATTCATGATCTCTCTCTTTCTCTCTCTCTCTCTCTCTCTCTCTCTCTCTCTCTCTCTCTCTCTCTCTCTCTCTCTCTCTCTCTCTCTCTCTCTCTCTCTCTCTCTCTCTCTCTCTCTCGCAGGATCTGAGCATGGTAGTAAATAACATAAGATAATTTATAGGCATAGTGTTATAAAGTTGTGACTGATACCAAGATGAAAAGATACCAGGTTTAAAAGATACCAGATTAAAGAGATACCAGGGTGAAGAGATACTACGATGAAAACAAAAGAAAAAAATGAACAAAAAATTTGCAAAAAATCTTTATATCATAATAGACAATTATTATTATTATTATTATTATTATTATTATTATTTTTATTATTATTATTATTATTATTATTATTATTATTATTATTATTATTATTATTATTATTATTATTATTATTATTATTGTTGTTGTTGTTGTTATTATTGTCGCCATTTTCATAACGGGAGCGTTAAACTCGCATGAGTAATACAGAGACAAGGGACTAGAAGGGCAACACCAGTTCCTTGGAACAAAAGCCCTGAGATAAATAGGAAGGATAGGAGCGGAGGAAATGAAAATCAATTCTTTTTCCTTCCTTCATTTTTCTTGTTCGTTTCCTTTCTTCATTCCTTCTGTGCTCGTTTCCTTCTTTCGCTCCTTGTTTTCCTTGTCTGCGTTCTTGCTTCCTTATTTGCTTCCTTGCTTTTCTTAGTTTGCTTGCTTTTCTCCCTTGTTGTTTGTGTTCTTCCTTCCTTGCTGCCTTATGTGTGAAGGATGAGAGTGTATGTTGTGTGGGTGATGCTGTGGTGATGATGCTGTGTGGGGGATGCTGTGTAGATGATGCTGTGTGGGGATGCTATGTGGGGGAATACTGTGTGCGGGATACTATGTGGATGATGCTGTGTTGGGATATTGTGTAGGGATGCTTTGTGTGGGACGTTGTGTGGATAATGCTGTGTGGTTGATGCTGTGTCGATGATGCTGTGTGAGGAATGCTGTGTGAATGCTGTGTGGGGATACTGTATGGGGGATGCAGTGTGGATGATGCTGTGTGGGGGATGCTGTGTGGGTGATACTTTGTGGGTGATGCTATGTGGATGATGATGTGTGGATAATGATGTGTGGGGGATGCTGTGTTGGGATGCTGTGTTGGGGATGCTGTGTTGGGGATGCTGTGAAATGGGTGAGTTTCGGGACTACGAGAGGAAAGATCTGAATAAAAGTGAGAGTTACGAGACGAATAGGAAGAGGAAAAAAGAATGGAAGAACTAAAGGAAGGATTGAAGATGATGGGGAATAGATATAGCAGAGAGGAATTGATGGAGAGGAAGATTTAAAAAGAAAGGAAGGAATATAAGAAGGGGCTAATAGCGAGGGAGACAGGAATGTAGAGAGGTGGAAAAGATAGAAGTAAAGAATGAGTGAAGGGCTGATGGGGAGAGAGAGAGGAGAGAGAGAGAGAGAGAGAGAGAGAGAGAGAGAGAGAGAGAGAGAGAGAGAGAGAGCAGATAAGAATATGGAGAGAGGCAGACAGTGGAAGCAACAAAAGAAGAAAATAAATATGCATGGCACTCCTCTGAGTGGCACCTTGCAAGTGTGTGCCTTGATGCTGGTGAAGGATTCTTGGGTCAGGGAACTGAGGTAATCTTCCTCTTCCTCGGCTAAAGCTTACTTATCACCATATTTTCCCCAGTCGCTGTATTAACCCTATGGGTTTAGCGTTTCCTCCGGAATATCACAATAGTAACAGACCAGAGATGCTAGGTATGTGCAGTTAAACAGCCTATAAACCTAAATAAACCAGGAGGGAAACGTTTTACATATGAAATATATATATTAGGTGGGAAAGTTTTAACATACCTGAATATATCAAATGGGAGACGTGTATCACACCTAAAATAACAATGACTTGTGTGGGGCAAAAAACAGTGGCTGATATATTTATGTGTGATGTTCAACCTGTCTCTCATGACATATTCAGAAAACAGAAAAGAGAATAGGAAGCAGGGAATAGAGAGAGAGAGAGAGAGAGAGAGAGAGGAGAGAGAGAGAGAGGAGAGAGAGAGAGAGAGAGAGAGAGGAGAGAGAGAGAGAGAGAGAGAGAGGAGAGAGAGAAGAGAGACAGAGAGAGAGAGAGACAGAGAGAGAGAGAGAGAGAGAGAGAGAGAGAGGAGAGAGAGAGAGAGAGAGAGAGAGAGAGAGAGAGATGAGAGAGAGAGAGAAGAGAGAGAGAGAGAATAATCAAGGGAAAAGCAGAGAGTGATAAAATAATCAAGGGAAAAGCAGAGAGAAAATAATGAAGGGAAAAACAGAGACAGTAAAGGAATTGATAATTCTACGTCGCGGCAGTCTTCTGAGAAGAGCTGTCAACTTCTTTTTAGAATGATAGAAGTGAGCGAGGAGGATGAAAAGCTTGAACAACAAAAGAACATCATGTAACATCACTGCTGCACACAAAGCTTTGTGTACTAGCTGTTCTTCTACTAGGTACCACTAGTTCAACTAGTGGATACAGTGGTCTGGTGGACGCACACCGCTACAGTGACTACCACAACCATCACTGATTCCACTACTTCTACCATTACTTTTCTTTTTATCTTGGGCGTCCTAATGTAGAAGCTGAACTCATATCAGGAATTCGTTGCTTTCAGTTTGCCCCAACAAACTGGAATCCTGTGTTTGCAAAACGCTTGTCTATCCGGCTCTTAAAAGATTATTGTCCAGTTGACAGCTTCAGCAGGAAGTTGAATTTGTTCTGCTTTAATTCTATTTGCCAGAAAACCTTTCCCCACACGTTGTGTTTCAACTAGTTCTTTGTGTTTCAAATAGTTCTTTTGTGTTTCAAATAGTTCTTTGTGTTTGAGTGTATTAAAATCATTCAGTATCCTAAAGGTCTGAACGAGTTTTTCTTGTAAATTATCTCCGTTTGCTTTTAGAGAATAGTTTAGTACTTTTAGTTTTTTTCACATAGTTTATTTCTTCTCTGCAGCCTCTCCAATTTATCTTCGTCTTTTATTCAATATGGAGACTAAAACTGGAAGTTATATTCAAAGTTCCGTCTAACAAGTGCATTATAGTCAAAATTGTTTCTGATGTTTTGTACTGGGCATTTTCTATTATGAAATCCAGCGATCTGTTGGCTTTATTGCTCGCAGATAGACAATTTTTCCCACTTTTGGGTTAGTTGCTTATGCTTACTCCAAGGTGCCAGAGATCTGGAAGTCAGCAAGTGTAGTCCTCTGTATGTGAGAAAGTTGAGAAAGGAGACAGACAGGAAGCACTGAACTACATACTAGTTTCACTGACAAGCATAATATGCCAGTGGTTACATAAACAGCAATACACCACCAGCAATACCACCGACACACCACCAGTCACACACAAGAAGCATCACCAGCAACGCACTATTCGCAGCACCACAACATACCACAAGAATCACCAGCAACACACCACCACCAGCACCACTGTTGTATAACGAACAGCACCACCGACACACCATCATGCAGGCAATTGGAGAAAGTTGAAGAGCTTCCTAAAGAATCTTTATCTTAGGCTGGACATGTGGGAGCTAGAGTTAGTGTGTGGTCGGTCGCATGGCTCTCACTACCCCAGACTCCCAGGAGCCAGTGTGTGTGTGTGTGTGTGTGTGTGTGTGTGTGTGTGTGTGTGTGTGTGTGTGTGTGTTGTGTGTGTGTGTGTGTGTGTGTGTGTGTGTGTGTGTGTGTGTTAATTTTTGTGGTTGCAGCTTCTGGCCCCGTCTCTTCGCTGGTCACTACTAGGCCCACTCTCTCCCTGCTCCACGAGCTTTATCGTATCTCTTCTTAAAGCTATGTGGGGATACTGTCTCCACTACGTCACTCTCCAGACTGTTCCACTTCCTGACAACTCTATGACCGAGAAAATACTTTCTAACATCCCTGTGACTCATCTGGGTTTTCAACTTCAAGATGTGACCTTTGCTGTGTCCAGTCTCTGAAACATCCTGTCTCTATCCACCTTGTCAATTCCTCTCAGTATTTTATATGTCATTATCATGCCCATCCTATCCCTCCTGTGCTCCAGTGTCGTCAGATTGATTTCCTTTAATCTTTCCTCGTAGGACATACCCTTTATCTCCGGGACTAGTCTTGTTGCAAAAGCAAAAAAAAAAAAAAAAAAAAAGAAAAAGGTAATAAATATCATTTGAAAAGAAGAAAATGAATTGGAGAGAATATGAGATGTAAGCAGAAACCAGACAAATTACCGAGCAAAGATTTTACATGAGTATCCCATCAAAGTGGGTGAATTGATGTTAATGAAGAACTCTTGACCAGAGGAATTACAGCCGTTCTAAAGTTCCTTGGATCAAATTCTTTCACCTTCCTTATGGGTTTATTGCTTCCATTTGATGATGATGATTATAATAATAATGATAATTTTATTATTAAATAATAATAATAATAATAATAATAATAATAATAACAATAATAATAATAATAATAATAACAATAATAATAATAATAATAATAATAATAATAATAATAATAATAATAATAGTAATAATAATACGGCAATGTATATAACACAGTTACATTAATAATATGATTTTACATTAACCAACGTACTTGACACCACAAACTCAGATCCCTAACGCTTACCATCAAGAGACACACAACACATACCAACATACCAACACACATACATAAAAAAAATACAAAATACACACAACTAATCAACCAATAACCTTTATAAATAATGAACAATAATTATTTTATTTTGCAAAATTAAATATTAATTTACTGCCTATAAATCAGTGAACACAAACT